CGGCAGGGCCATGGTTCTGGTTAAGGCACTGAGAGAGAACTCTGTTCCCAGTATGCCTTTTTCAGAGCTGGCTTCTGGGGTTGCCAGCAATCACCGTGTTCTCAGCTTGCAGGCACATCACTCCAACCTCTCTGCCTCTGGTGTCATATGGCCTTGTCCTTGTTTGTCTAAGTTTTCATGTAGCCTTCTTATAAGGACAACAGTCATTGGATTAGTCCCCATACAACTCCAATGACTTTGTCTTAAATGGATGTATAGTACAAAAATCTTATTTCCAAATAAGGGCACATTTATGAGTACCGGGGACTTGAATGTATTCTTGGGGGACACAATCCAACCCATAGCAGATACCCACATCCAGGCATGGCCTCAGACAAGGGCCAACATTTCCAGGGGAAGGGCCTGAGTCCAGGGCCACCACCTCAGTCCAGGTGGCCACAGTGAGAAGCTAGCACACACAACTAGAGAGTAGTCCCTGCTCGCCACAGCTAAAGAAACCCTGTGTAGCAAGGCAGACCAGCAAAGGCATAAATAAATAAATAAAAATTAAAGGCCTTCTCTAAAGGCTGTGAGGGGACAAAAATAGGATCATGGATTGGCCGACCATTTGCTGCTCTGGGTGGTGTTGCGGAAGGCACTCAGTGCCTCAGTTCCATGCCTGTGACAAAGGGTGTTTGGAGGTTAAATCACCGTAAAAACTCTGCCTGCAGTGCAGGAGACCCTGCATTGGGTAGGGAAGATCCCCTGGAGAAGGGAATGGCAACCCACTCCAGTATCCTCAATATGCCTGGGAGATCCCATAGGGAGAGGAGCCTGGAGGGCTATAGTCCATGGAATTGCAGAGTCAGACATGACTGAACAACTTAACATGTTCACTTTCACACTTTCTAATATATAAATTACCCAGTTCCGGACCTAACCCCAGCAGGCATTAAAACAATTGATTTTTATTATTGTTAGTGGTGTGGGAGGATTAGTCACATAAAAGTGCCCAGCACTGAGAGGTTACTGCATCAGTGATGGCGCCTGGATCTCCTCCTGCTCTGACTTTTCACATTCGGTCACCTGTGCCCTTTGCGCCAATGGCTCTGGCTTTCAATCCCCTAGACTCCTAACTTACTTCTAGAGAACACCTGTCACTAGTCTTTGCCCTTGTCTCAGCACCTGCCTAGAAAAATTTACCTAAAAGTAAATATAGTATTCATTCATTCATTTTCTCTCTAGTCCTCCTAAAACGTTTAAGCTTGGACGTGTGTGCGGGTGGAGGGAGTGGGGGACGTTATTAGTTTCCTGCTTGCAGTCTTCCTGGGGTCTAGAACCCTGCCCGGCACCTGACAGACAGATCATTAAGTACGTGTTGGGAGAATGGCCGATTTTCAGGCAGAAGGGGGTGACACGTGGGGACACGGGGCCACTCGACGGGCGGAGAGGCTGGTGACGCAGAAACCTAGGGACCGGAGGATAAACAACTGAATGAACCATGGCTGAGCATCCGCATTTTTACGAAAAAGATGCCCCATACCCTCTTCCGGGCAGGGCGGGAGCGCCAGGGGCCCGCAGCTATCCTGCAGGACACGAGCGGAAAACGTTGGGCACGGGTCCTGCGCACTCTGCCTTTCTAACCCCTTGTTCCCGCCCAGGGCGGCCGCCCACCCCGGGTCTGAACCCTCCAGATCCCGCGGCGTCAGCACGTGCTCAGCAGCCGCCGGCCGCCCAGGGCGCAGCCTCACTCTCTGCGGCGCCCCTCCCCGCGCGGCCGCTCAGTCGGGAGGGGCGCGGAGTGGGCGGGGCGGGACCGGCCCGGGCGGTGCTGGGACTTGTAGGCCTAGCCGCCTGCGCCCTGCCCCCGCCCATAGAGGCCCAATCACGGAAGGGGAAACTGAGGCCGGGTGAAGGTATCCAACGTGCCCAAGATCGCGCGGCTGCAAGATGGCCGCCTTCCCTGGCCCAACAACTGTAGATGACACTTTAGCAAAGTTTTCCAAGGGCGCGCTGAGGGTCCCTTCTCTGGTCGAGAGCTCCCCTCGGCTCTTTCCTTCCACCATGCATTCGTTCACTCAACAAACCTTTCCTCGGGGGACTTCTGCTTGCCGGACCGTACAGCTTGAGGAAAACATCCAAGGCCCCACCTCGCAGGGGAGAAAGAGAACTTAAACCCGCGAATAGGGGACCAGGGTTTGGAGAGGTGAAAAGTGCAATGAATGGATAAGAGCAGGCTAAAGGGCAAGTGGTGTGACACAGCCCCGAGGCAGGAGCGGGCCTGGGGAGCTGGGAGAAATACCGAGGACAAGACCAGAAATCAGGGGAGCCAGAAAAGTGTGTCCCCAGGGGACTCCGTGAAGACTCGGGGCTCCATTCCCAGGGTCAGGGGGCTGAAGCGGGCGTCTTGGGGGAGGCAAGGATCAGAACAGTGGTTGCCTAGAGGAGAGTGGGATTAAGGAGTCGGGGTCTTCAGGCACAGCTGGTCTGGGCCTGGGGGTCAAATGTAGCCTAACAGAATGTACTGGATAATCGCAAAGACTAGTAAACACCTCGCCTGCCTTCCTGTGCCCCTCAACCCCACTGTGAGCAGTGTCAACTTAAAAAAAGGTGCACAACTAGAAGCTGAGGATTGTATTTTATTCAGTGGGCTTTATGCAGACTCAAACTCTGGAAGCAGTCTCTAGGATAGCCCAGAGGGAGTGCTCCTAAGCGTGAGAGAGTGTTCCTAAGCAGTAAAGGAGGGGGCAGGATACAGGGAGTTTTTGTAACAAAAACCCAAAAGTCGAACGAACATCAAAGGATCGTTGTGAATTAAAGAAAAACCAGACAAGTTAATGAATTTAGCGCTCTTGTATGCATGCAAAGATGCAAGAGTCTGGGTTCATGGAAATCACTCCTTTGATGTGTACCTTAACCATCTAGGATCAGTATCCTGTCCCCGCCCCAACCTGAATCCCCTCAGGGTGTAGTCAGGTGGCCACAGTGGCTGATGGCTTAATGTCCACTGCACAGGACATCCCAATGCTGGTGCCTGGACATGTGGAGGGCTTGAGACCCTCAGGGCCTGGCTCTGCATAGCCGTGTGACCCACTGGTGGGGGATGCTGGTGCCGGGGCCTTGTGTTCAGTGCTCTGGTCAGACAGGAAGTTCCTAGTAACTTTGAACAAGCGGCCTTGACAATTCTGCAGCAGGTCTTGCTCCAGAGTCCCAGGGGTGGGCCTGTCCCTATGGTTGGAGAAGGGACAAAGGGAATAGCACTGCCCATTCTGTTTGCTCTGCCCCAGAGGTTGCCGACAGAGATGGAGGAATCCCGAACACCAGGATGGACTTTTAATGAGGCCAGAATTACTTCCCCTGCCCAATCACCTTATCAGAGGGGCTTCCGGGACCACTCTGGCCACTCCTGGATGGCAGTGCCCTGATTTATTTCCTAATGGGTAATATATTGTATAATTAAAAAGCAGAGACATTACTTTCCCGACAAAGGCCCGTCTAGTGAAAGCTATGGTTTTTCCAGTAGTTACGTATGGATGGGAGAGATTTGGATTATAAAGAAAGCTGAGTGCCAAAATTGATGCTTTTGAACTGTGGTGTTGGAGAAGACTCTTGAGAGTCCCTTGGGCTGCAAGGAGATCGAACCAGTCAAGCCTAAAGGAAATCAGTCCTTAATATTCCTTGGGAGGACTGATGCTGAAGTTCACACTCCAATACTTTGGCCACCTGATGCAAAGAACTGACTCATTGGAAAAGATTGATGCTGGGAAAGAGCAAAGGCAGGAGGAAAAAGGGAAGACAGAGCATGAAATGGTTGGATGGCATCATTGACTCAATGGATATGAGTTTGAGCAACCTCTGGGAGTTGGTGATGGACAGGGAAGCCTGGCATGCTGCAGTTGATGGGGTTGCAAAGAGTCGGACAAAACTGAGCAACTGAACTGAACCCGTTTAATTATGTGTCTTGTTCATAGTGGCTTGGTGGGGCTAGAGTGTGTTCTGTGTATTTCTGCATCCCCCGCATCCTAATAAATAGTCCTTGAATGAATTATATTCGTCTATATAGACCACACACCCACACACGCTAAAATTCCTCGAACTAATTATATTCATGTATATAGTCCACACACACACACACACTCGACAAACGGGGCTTCACAGGTGGTTCTAGTGGTAAAGAACCTGCCTGCCAGTGCAGAAGACCTAAGAGATGAGGGTTCAGTCTGTGGATTGGAAAGATCTCCTGGAAGAGGGCATGGCAACCCACTCCGGTATTCTTGTCTAGAGAATTCCAAGGACAGGGGAACCTGGCAGGCTATAGTCCGTGGCGGTCACAAAGAGTGGGACACTACTGAAGCTACTTAGCACCTGTGCGTAAAGACAAAAATCATTTCACCTTCAATATGTTGTTGTACTGGAGGTAGCACTGGGAGAAACGCAGTCTCACTAAACATGATCTGAATCGTGTACATCTGATTCGCTAGACTGTGCTCTCCACGAGGAGAGGGGCCCGGAACCCAGCGAGCACCAAACAGGTGCCCTAGAAAACCCGAATGTGCCCCCTCCGCAAGCCCGCGCTCTGCTCCAAGTGCTTCCCCACCGCACGTGGGGCGCGGTGGGGCGGGGCCTGGACTACGCTTCCCGGCGCCCCTCGCGCGCCCGGGACGGGGCGAGGCTGAGGATGGGGGCGGGGCTGGTTTTATAGGGCGGGGCCTAGGTGGGCCGGGGGCGGGGCCGACTACAAAGCCCGGGGGCCGGCGTTGAGGCGCAGTGCCCGCAACGCCGGCAGGAGCGCAGCGCAGCGCAGCGCAGCGAGGCGTGCACGGCGGGAGCGGCCCGCGCGTATAAGGGCCTGGCGGCTAAACCGGCGCCCCCGCTGACGCGCTCGCCCCGCCACCGCCCCCAATGAGCGCAGCCCCACGCGGCCCGGGTCCGTAGGCGGCGGGGCGCCCCCCATGCTGCTGCAGCCCGCGCCGTGCGCCCCGAGCGCGGGCTTCTCGCGGCCCCCGGCCGCCCCCGGCGCCATGCACGGCTCGCAGAAGGACACCACGTTCACCAAGATTTTCGTGGGCGGCCTGCCCTACCATACTACCGACGCCTCGCTCAGGAAGTACTTCGAGGGCTTCGGGGACATCGAGGAGGCCGTGGTCATCACCGACCGCCAGACGGGCAAGTCTCGCGGATACGGCTTCGTAAGTGGCCCCGCGGCCGGGCGCTCCCGCCCCGCACTTATCGCGGCCAGGGCGCTGAGTCAAGCGGCGGGCGCACGCCAGCCCCGGGCGCCTCCCGCCGGCTCGGCACCTGCTGACCCTTCTCGGGCTGCAGCCGGTCCTGCCCCCGTCTCCCTGCCCCCACGCCACGCCGGCTTTAAAAGGGAGAGCCGCTCTGTTCAATTAGGACTCTTCTAAGTTTGTGGAGAGGTTTTGGGGACAGCCGGCTACTTTTCGGCACTTCCTGGAGCAACAAGCGAGCGAGGAACAGGGCTTCACCCTGGGGCACTTAGGAGCCTTTGAGCAACCCGTGTTTTATTTTCTAGCAACTCCCACAGGCATCCCAAACAACCTAAGTCAGAGTTGGCTTGAAGACACTTCTCTTAACTCCTTTTCTAACTAGGGTGTCCCCAAATCCCTCCCGTGAGGAAATTGGTGGTCCCCACGGGCCGGGTAGGCCACGCCAGGACCCCTCCTTCCCTTCGGATTTGCTGTAGTCCCCGGGGATTGTTTTTGCCCTTCAAGGCCGCGTTTCTTAGCACTTGAACTCGGAGAGAGGAGCTGGGGTCCAGGGGCAGCTTTGGGGTGAGGGGGCCTAGGCTGGACGGGGGCTGGGCAGATGCCTTGGGTAGCGGGCACCTGGGGTCAGGGGAGGTGAATGCCGGGGGTGCCTGGGCTCTAGAGCCCACTCTCTGCTTCCCCCACCTTCCGGGGAAGCCCCTGATGCCTCTGTGCGCCTCCAGGTGACCATGGCCGACCGTGCAGCCGCTGAGAGGGCTTGCAAAGACCCTAACCCCAACATCGATGGTCGCAAGGCAAACGTGAACTTGGCCTATCTGGGTGCCAAGCCGCGCAGCCTCCAGACGGGTGAGAGTCGTGCTTTCCTTCCCTGTGCTTCTGGTTGCTATATTCAGCCTCTCTCTCCGTGGGGTGGAAGAGGCACCCCCCCGCCCCCACCGCCCTGCTCCAGGAGTAACAGTCGGCTGTCATGTGCTCCAAGAGAGCCATCACAGGGCAGTCATCCCCCAGCTCAGAAGTCAAACCCCTTCCTCCGGCGGCGTGTGCCAGTGGGACACGGCGAGGAGGGCAGGTCACCCGCTTGTCAGCTGTCCTCACCGGAGGGAGGAAGTGGGTCCCAGAGCTGGAGGTCGGGAGGATGCAAGCCCAGTGGCTGCTGCCCCTCAGCTCCGTGGGCCCCCTTTGGCTGGGAGTTCTGGGGTTCAGGTGTAGGTGGCCAGAAGGGGAGAGGAAGCTGTTTACCCCTTTGGACTAGAGGTGGAGGGCTGTGGGAGTCTTCCCTGGGTGAGGCTGGGCTCCTCCCTAACTGGTCTCTCATTTTAGGCTTTGCCATCGGCGTGCAGCAGGTGCCCCCCACTTTGATCCAGCGGACTTATGGGTGAGTGGACGTGGCCGGCTGGGGCCGGGGGGCGCACAGCCCTTGGAGACTAGGCCAGGGGTCCGTGGGCTTCCTGGGTCTGCCCGTGCAGGTGGCCCTCAGTCTGAGGGAGCCTCTCACCCCAGGACTGCCGACCCTCTGGCATTGGTGGTGCTGTCTGCAGCTCCCTTTCTCTGTCTGAAACCTGTCACTTGCTCCAATCTTTCAGAAGTGTGATCGTGTTGTGGGAGTGGGAGGGGTTCAGCTGGGAGAAGGGAGAGAAGGCAGATTGCATTTCTCTGCCCCCAGCAAAGGCCACACTGAAGAGAGATGGGGAACATGGGCCTGAATTCAGGTCCTAGCTTCCCCCGATTGGTTGTGTGCCTCGGTTTCCTCACCTGTAAAATGGGATAGTGATAGCACCTCTGAGTTCTGTGGCCCGGAGGCCAGGCAGGTAGCTGAACATGCTGGAAGTGTTTGCCGACCAGGAACCGGGCCAGGCTCTTCTGAGGGCGCCTCTCTGACCTGCTCCGGTGCCCAACAGATGGCGGCAGCAGGTCACTGCCAACCGGTCCGCTGTTTGTGAAGCTGCAGCAGGTGAGCTGGAATCAGGGCCAGATGTCTCCGCCCGAGTGGGCTCAGCCTGTGGGCCTTTTGTCTAACATGCTTTGGAGTAGAGTGTCCCACCCTCCTCCACCCGAAAAGGGCCTTCTTTTTTTTTTTTAAAAAAGCATCTCATAAGGCCTGGTAGCTGCTTGGGAAAGGACACAAACTTTAGGTGCACAAAGGAGCCTGCCGTACTGGCTGACTTCTCAGCCCCATGATTGATGTCGGTTCTATGCCCTGGTGTGGGGAATGTGCTGATTACGATGCGGGGTTTGTGTTGGGGGACCGTTTATAGAAAGGGCAGCCCCTTTTAGGATGGCAGAACTTCTTAAGCTTATCAGAGATCAGATTCCAGGCCCTGTGTTCTGTGTCGAAAGTTGCAAATGTGTGTGTGTCTGTCTGCCCCAGAGACTTGATTTGATTGCTCCCCTGGCTCACTGGGGTGGTGTGGACCAGCTTTGGAGCAGGTTGGAGCTGGGCTCGGGGGGACTGGGCAGGTTGGCCGTGATTCGGGGCTCCTTGCCCTGACAGGCAGTCTCCTGTGGCTGTCCCGTGCCCCCGCCCCCTTGTGGGTCAGAGACTGTGTGTGGGCCTGGTGCCTGTGTGTCCTGGGAGGAAGCCTGGAGGGCAGCCGGGAGTAGGGGGCTCTGGTCTCCTTCCCACCCTAGGATCTGCTTCATCTGTGTCTGTAGGCGTCTTGGAAGGTGTTTGGGGACACCCCCATCTTCCTGCTGTCACCCAGGTTCTTCCTGTTTGGGTTCAGGCCACACGGGGAGGGCGTTTCTCACTTTTCACAGTCCTGGTTCTGTTCCCTGGGTCAGGGGCTGGGACAGGGGCTAGCACTGAGATCCGGGTGTGAGCCTTGAGCACACGCAGCTCTCCTCTGCTTAAAATGCCTCCGTGGCTTTCCACTTGGGCCTGGGCTCTGTTCTGACCCATCACAGCTGCTTTTGGGACTGAGTCTCAGAGTCCTGATACTTGGGACTCTGGAGCCTGCGGACCTGGGTTCAGATCCTGGCTTTGTCACTTTACCAGTGGGGTCCTCCTTGCTAACTGATGTCTTCCTGAGCCTTCCGTTTCCTCATCTGGAAAATGGGAATAATAACCACACAAGGCAATGCTGGCTTATGGGGCTAGGTGCTCCACACCCTTGTGGCACTTCTCTGAGGTTGGGATGGACATCATCCCTCCCTCGTAGGTGGGGAAACGGGCAGAGAGAGGTTAAAAACAGTTAACGACCCATCCAGGGTGGCTGAAGTGAGGGGACTTGAACCTCCACGAGCTGGCTCTGGGCCTGTGCTCTCAGCCCCTGCTCTCTGGGGTGGGAGGTGGGAAGGGTGCCCAGACGGCTTCCCTCACGGTCCTCAGAGCGCCGCCCACAGGAGGGTGGTCAGGGGTCACTCAGATCTTACTGCCACATGCTTCTGAGCGCCGGCGATAGTGTTTTGTAATTGAATCTGCTGGCCAGCCATTTAAGACCGATGACGATGCAGAGGCTCTATTTGTTGGTTGCCAAGGGGTGGAAGGACAGTCGACAAACAGGCACAAGCTTGGGGTTGGAGGGACAATCCAGCTCTGCGTTTTCCAGCGGCTGGTGGATGGTCGCCTCCCACCAGGCTGCTCTGAGACCCAGGGGCAGGAGGGGCCTCGGCCAGGCTTTCGGGGTCAGCTGTCTCCTCCCAGCGCCCGTCTGCCTGGCTGGAGACTTGGGCTGTCAGCGTCCCTTTTGTCTTTACAAACAATCGGGCCCAGGAGCCCGGTTGGGCCTGACTCAGCGGTCAGTTGTGTCAGCTCCAGGCTGGCAGGGAGGCCCAGGCAGCCCAGAGTTTGCGAACCCGTTAACCCCTCTCCTGCCCGGCGGAACTTTCCCCAGTCTTTCTGGCCCCGCTCCTGTGCCCGGGGCATCTCCAAAGACCCCAGACCCCCAACTCCCAGGCTCAGCTACTGCGGAATCCTCGCCTGGCTAGGTCATAAACATCAGTGTGGGAAGATTTGCCAAAGGACTTTGACATTCTGTTTTCTGCTTGGGTTCCTCCTCCCTGGTTTATCTTTTCTTCAAGAACAGGGTCTTTCCGGATCTACCTCGAGTGGGACATTTCCGTCACATTCACTCCGTGGGGCTGAGGCTTGGGTCTGGAGAAGACTTCTTTGGGAGGTGGCAAGTGGCCAGTCTCAGGGGGAAACAACTACAGCCAGAGACCACCCAGCTGAGCGGCCCACCCGGTAGGACAGTCAGGAGCCTACAGGCACGGGTCCAGGCAGAGTGTCGGATCTGGCTTGGAAGGGGCTTCTTGGCCGGTGTCAGGGCTGTTTGACAGCCAGCTGTCTGTCCAGGCTGGGCCTGAGGGCCATAGGAGCTGAGGTGTGTCCTGGGCCCGACTGCGCTGGGAGCCTCTCCTTGGGGTATTTTTGAAGGGTTACCTGTTTCTCTAGGCTCACCTCCCTCCACCCCAACTTCTTAAGGGGGCCTCACTGTGGCTCCACACCTGTCCACCACGAGCCCCACTCAGTGCCGGGAGCAGGCCAAGCCCTCGGGCCCAGATGACAGGACAGGGTCCTGTGGCCGTTGGGTGTCAGGCAGGCTTCGTGTCGGAGCGAGGCCCCGGGGGCCTGACTGGGCTCGGGGTCAGGCCCACCCCCTTCTCCCCATCTGCAGGGTGGGGACCGTGTCAGCGCCACCTCACCGGGCTGAGTGGGGATGGACCCGTGCCTGGTGCAGAACCGCGCGGTGAGGGCCGGGCCCACAGGAAGACAGGTGCAGTGATTCATCTCACAGTGGCTCGGCCACAGTCTGTTGTCCCCTCCACCTGTGCAGGTGCTGGTTGCGGGGAAAGTCGCCAGAGCTGACTGTGCGTGGCACAGGCACTAAAGCCTGAGTCGGGGGCTCCAGCACCCTCCCTCCTTCCCCGAGGCCCCAGTACCGCTGTCTGGCTAGCTCTTGGACAAGGCAGAGCCAGAACCCCCAGAACTGACCAGGGCCCAGGGTCTCCTCCCTCGGCACCTTCACACTGCATTTGGCTGAAGGTTTCCGGGCCCCTGCTCCGTCTCTGTGATGGTCCCCAGTGCCCAGGTCGAGACCCGCTGCCCTTGTTGTCATCAAGTCGTGCGTATCTGCCCAGCCAGGGGGTCTGAGTGGAGTGTCTGGGTCCCCAGGGTCAGGGTCGGGGGGGGGGCATAATGTGACAGGAAGATGTCTGTTTCTCAAAAGCGTGTAGCACGCAGGACTGGGCAGAAGGGAATGAGCTGTTCGCAGAATGCTTTGTTCCTCAAGTATTTATTGAACACCGGCTGGATACTTTGAAAGACGTGGTTGGTTCTCCGTCTCACTTTCTGGCAGGGATGCCAGACCATTCGAAATCCATCTGCACATATGATGGGTGCAGCTGGACAGAGCAGCTGGCTGGCAAGAGGCCTCGTGGGGGCAGGACAGGCCTCTGTCGTGATGTAAGAGTAGGGAGGATGATCTGCGAGCATGGCAGTCACAGACTTGCACCCTAGGACACCTCCAGATGGTGAAATCAGAGCAAGGCCTGGAGCCAGCTAAGAGCGGCATGCCTGCTGTGGACTCTTGGGCTTGGTGGCATGTTGTGTTATGAGACGTCACCACTGGGGACACTGAGGGGGCCTCTGGTACTGTACCTGGAGAGCCTTGTTATCTCATGATATGACATAAATAAAGCCAGGGGTAGTTGCGGTGCCTAGAATAAGGGCCAGCACCTGGGCGGAGGGTTGGCGGGTTGGGGCCAGCACCTTGGAGGTGTGGCAGGAAGTGAGGTCAGAGTGGAGGCTTTGCGGGGGGCGGGGGGGCAGGGGGCGGGTAGAGAGGAAGCCGGTACCCTCCCTGTGTCATCACATGGCTTGTTTTTACTTTCAGGGTGTCTGGGTTGGTCCTGCCCCTCCCCACCCCGTTGCTTCCTGTTTAGCTCTCACTGGAGCGAGGCGTGGGCCGGCGCGTGGCCCTCCCCGCGGGCACCCGTGCACACCTGTTGTTTGTCGCTGTCTGCTGTAACAGACACCGGCCTCCGGGTGGTTCTTGGGTTCTCATCCAAGGGCAAGCTCCCCGCCAGCCGCGCTGGCCCTGGCAGGAGGGACCCTGTGCTGAGGGCTGCAGGGCCTCGTCCGGAAGTCTCAGGCCAAGGGGAGAAGCCTGACCATGCTCAGGCTGACACGGGCATCCTGGCCCCATCGGTGGGGAGGAGTGGCGGGGGGCGCTCCCAGGCGGGCAGGCCCTTCATGCTGCAGCGGGAGGAGGCTGTGTGGGGAGCCTGGGAGCCCCATGACTTGCCTGGGGGACTCCTTGTTCTTGTGATGACCTTTTCTTGTCGAGTCTCTGTTTCCCTGGCTGCTGCGTGGATGTGATGAGCACTCTGCAGAGTGCTGGGGGGCGCCGGGATCATTCTCCTGACCCCTCCCAC